GAAGATAGTTGTAAATAAAGTAATTTTTAAAAAGTTTAAAACTTGTTGAAAGGTTTGATATGTGAACAGCTAAAATAGCCCAAACTGATCGCATTCAATAAATAAACAAACAAACAAAAAAACAACAACATATCTCAAAGGTTAAAAAAGAAAGTAAACACCAACCCGATGCTCTGGATCATGAGCCGCTCCTCTTCCGGACCCATCTGGACGATGAGCAGCGAGCGGATCTGGCCCAGACACTCCAGCAGGTCCATGGTGTCCTGAACGGAGATGGCGTTGATGGCGTAGGCCTTGGGCAGAGCTCGGATCAGCTCGCCGAGCCCGTCGTACTGTCTGTGGAGCAGGCTGAACATCAGACGCACCAGCTCAGGGTTCTGGATGAACGACTCCTGGGCCCAGTGGATCATGGTGTGGGAGATCAGCTCCTGAAGGGTGCCTGGTGGAACCAAGGAGAAGCTTAACTTCTGTAACCAGAATATTTTTGATTTGATACAGAGAGTAGGATTAAACTAGAGAAAAACTATTTCTGTAAAAATACCAAGTGTTGAAATCTAAAACTGACTTCTTAAAACTAAAACAAGCCGAATGGTAGAATTTTAGCTGATGGTGAAAGGTAACAGAACTGAAAGGTAAAAGCTAAATGAAGCAAATGCTACCTAAAGCTGAAATTATCAAAAACATGGGTAAAAGTATCAAAAGACTGATTTTAAAGCTAAACTATCACAAGGCTAGCTAAAAGCCAAGAGTATCACAAGGTTAGATGAAAGCTAAAGTATCCCACAAGGCTAGCTAAAAGCTAAAACATCAAAAGACTGACTTTACAGCTAAAGAATCACAAGGCTAGCTAAAAGATAAAGTATCACAAGGCCAGCTAAAAGCTAAAGTATCACAAGGCTAGCTAAAAGCTAAAGTATCACAAGGCTAGATAAAAGCTAAAGTATCACAAGGCTAATCAAAAGCTAAAGTATCACAAGGCTAGATAAAAGCTAAAGAATCAGAAGGCTAGCTAAAAGCTAAAGAATCACAAGGCGAGATAAAAGCTAAAGAATCACAAGGCTAGCTAAAAGATAAAGAATCACAAGGCTAGATAAAAGCTAAAGTATCACAAGGCTAGTTAAAAGCTAAAGTTAGAGGTGTCCCGATACCGATATCGGGTCCGATACCAGCATCAAGTACTCGTACTCGTAAAAGCCGGCCGATACTCTTAACCGATACTGCTTTTGTCCCCTTTTTTGTTCCTCCTGTGCTGCGCTGCAGCACAAAGGGTAAACAACAATCCATATCAGGCGGGGACGCTAATGTACTGACACATTATTTC